CCTGTGCCCACCCTCCTGTGCCCACCCTCCTGTGCCCACCCTCCTGTGCCCGTCCCCCTGTGCCCGTCCCCCTGTGCCTGGCCTCCTTTGCCCGGCCTCCTGTGCCTGCACTGCTGGCTGGCCCCATTCCCATCCTCCCAGGCATCCCCGCGTTGGTGACATGATCACCTCCATGCCGTTAAAAGCCTTTACTACAAAGATGCAAACGTGTGCACCCCGAAAGCCTTTACTACAAAGATGCAAACGTGTGCACCCCACGGCCTCGGCGCCGCCCTGTGGGGTGGGGAGGCTCAGGTCCCCCGCCGCCGCGAGGGCTGGGCTGCTGCCGGTCTGGCGGCCCCGCGTCGGGCTGCGGGCCTGCCCCGCTCCCCCCTCCCCGCTGGCTGCGGGCCTGCCCCGCTCCCCCCTCCCCGCTGGCTGCGGGCCTGCCCCGCTCCCCCCTCCCCGCTGGCTGCGGGGCCTCCCCCCTCCCCGCTGGCTTGCAGGGCGGGCCCCAGGGGTTCCCGCATGAGTCTTCCCGCACGCATGCTGCGGCGTTGCGCCTGTTGTGACGCCACGCACGCGCTGGCCTCACGCCTCAACCTCAGCACATCCGCTGTGACGTCATGTGCTCGAGGGTCACGTCAGCTGTGACTGCACATCTGCCGTGGCGTTGGGACCCCTGTGACGCCACACATCCAGTGACACCACGCCCGTCCCGGCACTCTGTCCTTGCCGACCACGCCGCCCTGCGGACGCGGGGCTCGGGGTCACGTCTGCGGACGCGGGGCTCGGGGTCACGCCCGTCACACCGCCCTGCAGACGCGGGGCTCGGGTTCATGCGTGCATCTCTTGTGCCGTGGGCCATTCGAGACCGTCTCCAGTTTGGCATTACTTCGAGTGACGCCGCTGTACGCATTCACTCGCCAGCTTTGGGAAGCACCGGGGTTTGATCTCAGGACCTTGACTTTCTAGTAGATGCGCTCCTCGAGCTACACCTCCAGCCCTTTTTGGTCCAATTTTGAGACAGGGTCTCTCTTTCTTCCCAGGCTGGCCTCCTTATGCTTCCCTCCTTAGCTGGGATAACACCCCGCTTTTTCTACTGAGATGGCGACTTAAAAACGTTCCCCTCCCCTGGGTTGTTGCAGAACTACAATCCTTCCTTCCAGTCTCAGCTTCCTGCTTAGCTGGGGTTACAGGTGCGAGCCACCAGGACCCCGCCCCCATGTACACACGTTTTGTGGACATGCTTTCATTTTCTGGGGACTAAAATGTAGAGTGGAATCATGAATCATGGTGACCCTGTGTTTCACTTTTCCAGAAACTTCCTGTGTTTCCCATGGAGCAGTACCAGTTTGCATTCCCAGGATCAGTGTACACGGATTCCCATTGCTCCTTATCCTAGCCAACACTTACTCCTGTCTACCATTTTGATTTGGGCTCCCATGGGTGTGTTCCAGTGTGGGTTTTAGTTGCATTTCCCCTGTGATTGCCCGATGTGGAGCCTCCTGGGCATTACTGTATCTCTGGACGGACACTTATTGCTAGCCTTGGGGACAGTCCACAGCTCCTGGTTGCCGAGGGCTGACTGGGCGCGGTGTGCTCATGCACCATTGCTGAGGGCTGACTGGGCGCGGTGTGCTCATGCGCCATCGCTGATTCAGCTGACTGCTTTGGCCCAGCGCCTTGCTGCCAGGCTGACACGGCCTCTCCTTCCTCCGACAGATCCTGGACTCAGAGCTGTTCGAGCTGATGCACCAGAATGGGGACTACACGCACTTCTACTTCTGCTACCGCTGGTTCCTGCTGGATTTCAAGCGAGGTATGGACTTGACTGTGGGACCTTGTTCTTGCTCTCTTCATACCAGAAGCTCAGGGGAGGGGAGGCAGCAGAAGAGCACATTTATCTAGGTTTATATGTCCAAATTTATCCAAATCATTGTCATCGTAATGACCTTTCAGGAGCCAGGTGTGGTTCGTGCCTGTAATCCCATCTACTCAGAAGGCAGAGATAGGAAGATCGTGGTCTGAGTCCAGCGAGGTTCTATACGAAGAACCCACTGAAAAGCAAACAAGGGCTGGAGACGTGGCACAGGGGATCGAGGGCCTGCCTAGCAAGTGCGACTCCCAGCCCCGCCAAAGACATGAAATAAAAATCTAACACGTAGGAGACGTGTGTTAAGCGCACGGACTGTGCTCAGCCAGTTGTGTTCTCCCTGGCCCTTCACCACACACAGCATCCTCACCCCATGCGCCGGTGGGTGAGAGGCCCAAGGAGGGAAGGAAGGTGCTAGAAGTGATGCAGCCACATCTCCAGCCGAGCAGAGCCCTGCTTAGAACACTTGCTGTCTTCTGGCGTGCGTGCGTGTCTGTCTGTGTCTGTGTGTGCCAGTACTGGCCCCCTGCCCTTGCTTGGCTATGTTGTTCAAGGTTAGCCCTGTTTCCACGTCTCGCTTTTGGCTGGTTCATTGGAAACCCAGAGTCTCTCGGATGTGTCTGTTTAAGCTGGCTTTGAACTCTGATCCTCCGATCTCAGCCTCCCGAGTAGCTAGGATTACAGGCGTGAGCCACCAGCGCCCGGCTTTTCTTCTGTCTCGTTACTGGACTTGCAGGCAGCCCCCCGCTCTGGGGTGCTACTGAGCATGAACGGCGTCCGCTGCCGAGGGCCAGGGCCCTGCGGACCACCCCTGCTGGTGCTCGGCTCCTGCGCTCCCAGTGTCGGCGCTGGAAGGGCCTTCCCCGCTCCCGGTCACACACCGTCCTGCAGATGGGGAAAACCAAGGTGTGGGGGGCGAAATGGATCCAGCTCTCCTGCTCTGACCGCAGCTCTGTCTGCTGCGCTGGGGCACTGGCACACATCCCTGCTGCTCCACGATTGTCCCAGAGCGTCTCCTGGGGAGGGGGTGCCGGCAAGGGGGGGGGAACTGACCCCACGCGCATGCGTGCCGGTGGCTGGGTACAGCGCGTGGCTGACGGCTGACCCATGCGCATGCGTGTCGGGTCGGTGTCTCGGTAGAGCGCGTGTCTGATGGCTGACCCATGCGCACGTGTGTCGGTGGCTGGGTAGAGCGCGTGTCTGACGGCTGACCCATGCGCACGCGTGTCGGTGTCTCAGTAGAGCGCGTGTCTGACGGCTGACCCATGCGCATGCGTGTCGGCGTCTCGGCAGAGCGCGTGTCTGACGGCTGACCCATGCGCATGCGTGTCGGCGTCTCGGTAGAACGCGTGTCTGACGCTGACCCATGCGCATGCGTGTCGGTGTCTCTACGAGCGCGTGTCTGACGCTGACCCATGCGCACGCGTGTCGGCGTTTCGGTAGAGCGCGTGTCTGACGCTGACCCATTGCGCATGCGTGTCGGTGTCTCGGTAGAGCGCGTGTCTGCCGCTGACCCATGCGCATGCGTGTCGGTGTCTCGGCAGAACTCGTGTACGACGACGTGTTCTCAGTGTGGGAGACCATCTGGGCAGCCAAGCACGTGTCGTCAGCGCACTACGTGCTGTTCATCGCGCTGGCCCTGGTGGAGGTCTACCGGGACATCATCTTGGAGAACAACATGGACTTCACCGACATCATCAAGTTCTTTAACGGTACCCCGTGGCCGGGGCGGGCGCGGCGCGGCGGGGCCCTGCCCACATCCCGTGGCACTTTCCAGAAGGACAGAGGATGTACTGCTTCTCCAGGAGCAGGGCTCAGGGCAAAGCCCAAGAGTTGCAGACTTTTGTCCCCAGGCTGGCCTCGAACCTTGATTCTCCAGATCTCAGCCTCCTGAGTAGCTAGGATGACAGACGTGAGCCGCCGGCGCCAGGCACCTCCCTGCCCCCTTAAAAGGCTGTGGGCTAGCCAGGCTCCAGCGGCTCACGTCTGTCATCCTAGCTACTCAGGAGGCTGAGATTTTAGGATCACAGTTCAAAGCCAGCCTAGGCAGGAAAGTCCACGAGACTCCTATTTCCAATTAACCATTAAAAAGCCAGAGATGGAGCTGTTGCCCAAGTGGTAGAGCGCCAACCTTGAGCAGAAGAAGCTGAGTTCAAGCCCCAGTAGTCACACACACACACACACACACAGAGTTGTGTGTTGGGGCCCTGGCGGAGTCCACTCTGGGACTGGAGGCTGACAGTGAAATTTGTCTTCTGCTCTTGCAGAAATGGCTGAGCGACACAACACCAAGCAAGTCCTGAAGCTGGCCCGGGACCTGGTGTACAAGGTGCAGACCCTCATTGAAAACAAGTGAGGCCTTCTCTTCCCGTCCTCCACCTCCTCCCCCGCCGGAATGAAGCGAGGCTGGCTTGGGGTCCCAGCGTCCAGGCGTAGCATGGACGGCGCAGAGACACAGATGCCTTGACCGGGGTGGCCCTTCCAGCTCAGCCTTACTGTTTGACCAAAGATGGTTGGAGCGCCCGCCTCTCCCTGGTGGAGCTGGGGTGTGGGTGGAGGTGGCCTCTCTTCCCTCCCGTCCCGGGTTCCCTTTCCCTCATCTTTGCATCTTTTGGGAAATAGGTGTAACAGAGCTCTCCAGGGCTCCCTCTCAGTTTTACTGACATTTGACGCTAGGGGGCGCCCTGTGCACTGGGGAATCAGCATCCCTGCTTTCTACACCTCCACCCCAAATGTCCTGTTTGCCAAAAGCCCTGTGGGGCAAAATTGCCCCCCATTTAAGAAGCCCTGGCTTCGATGAGGGCCCCTTGCTTTATCCTAAGTTCCCCTCTGCCCCAGACCTCCAGGGTCCCAGAAGGAAAAGCACACACAAGTCCTAGATCTCCGCTGTGGACCTAGCTTCCATTGCTAGATTTCCTCTTTTTTTTCCCTCTTCTGATGACAAGAGAAAAATGCCCTGTGAGGGTGACAGGGCCCGGAAGTGTCTGCGGGGGAGGGGTTTCCTCCACCCCACTGCCCCCCTTCACGGGAGGGCCTGGCCGCCCGTCAGCCTCCTGGGCACGGGAAGGCGCGTGCCAGGCCGGGCGGTGCCCGGGCTCCCTGGTCAGGGAGCCAAGATGGCGAAGACAGCTGCTGGCAAGGGCAGATCTGGCCTGGGTTTTCTTCAGGGAGGATCTGGTTGGCCGGTCCGCCCCCATGCCACCAACAGCCCCTGATTGGTGGGGGTGAGTGCCCTGGCCACCTGCCCCAAGCAGAAGGCAGGCTGCCAACCCCCTCGGGGAAGGGAGGGGGACCCGCCGTCTTGTGGGGTGATGAGATTTCAGAGAGGATGCAGATGGGGACGGAAGCTGTGGTGGCGGGGACACGTCTGCCACCCCGAGGTCAACAGCCCACGGTGGCTTCCTTGCCACACCCACCTCAGGAGGGGCCGACAGGCGTGGGGCAGGACGGACAGACTTGTCGGTGGCCCTTCTGCCCCGCGGGGACAGCTCCGTGGGAGACGAGATTCCGCAGAGCAGAAGTGTGTGTGGGGGGGGGGGGAACGTGACATTGCCAGCCACTGCTCGAGCCTCGCCTCCCCTGCCTGGTCGCCTGCTCCCCCTTTTCCCCTTCCCCACCTCAGATAAAAGTTTATTTTGCTACTCAGCTGTTCCTGCACAGAAGGGTTTGCATTTTAGCACAGCCTGGTCCCAGACCTCCTGATCCTTATTTATTTTTGTAAGAGACACATCTTGAAGCACAGCACAAGGTCCTCCCCCCACCCATTCTCCCTCCTCCCTCCCCGCTCCCCCGCCCCCCTCCCCGTTCCCCCGCCCTGTGGTGTCGCCAAGAGCCTGTGTGATGTCGCTCAGAGCCACTCCTTTCCACCGACTGCGCTCCTGCGCGCAGACGTGTGTCCACTGTGTGTGTCCAGTGTCCTGGAGCCGGCCGTGGGCGTCGGCCTCTCCGTTAAGTGCCCTCTTTTTTTCTCAGTGTTGTGAATTTAACTTACAGATGTTTACTGAAGAGTTGTGTCTATCTCTAGAGAAAAAAATATATATATATATATATGAGCAGAGAAACATGTGGATCTGTGTTGGTTTTTGTTTCTTTGGAGAATATGCTTTTAACGTGAGAAAAAGAAAACAAATGTTCACAGCCAGGTGCTGGTGGCTCACGCCTGTAAATCCCAGTCACTCAGGAAGCTGAAATATGAAGATCCAGGTTCAAAGCCAGCCTCAGCAAGAAAAGTCCTTGAGACTCTTTAGCTCTAATTAACCAGCAAAAAAGCTGGACTCAAATGGTAGAGTGCAAACCTTGAGTGAAAAAGCTAAGAGACAATGCACAGGCCCCGAGTTCAAATCCCAGGATCTGCCCTTCCTCCCTCCATACCCCCCCCAAAAGAAGAGTATAGGTTTAATCACAACCATTGGCTTATCTCCTGCGTGTGTGGGTCAGCGTCCGCACTGGGCTCTGCTGGTCTCTATCAGACTTCTTTGTAGGTCTGGGATCAGCTGAGGCAGCTCTGACATTGGGTAGTTCAGGGAGCCAGGGGTCTCTCAATCCTGCAGCAAGGTAGCTCAGGCTGATGTACGAGGCCAGGAAAGCACAGGTGGGGAGAGTAAGCGGGCACAGATCTCCTGGGGTCAGCATGGAGGTAAAGGTGTAGAAGCCACCCCTCCTTCGTGCTGTGAACATCGCCAGTCTTCACTAAGGTGCTGGACGCAGGCCAGGACCGAAGCCAGTCCCCCTGCGGATCCCACCGGCATCAGATGCAAAACAAGTTACTGTTGCACTGGGCCACGCTGAACCCTCACACCCTGTGCTTGTCTTGTTTCCCTATAGGACACAGTGTGACAGAGACTCAGGGTAGTTACAAACATGGACATTGTATCAGGTCACACAAGCCACACAGGCAGCTTTGCTCCAGCTGGCCCAGAGACCCGGGGCCCAAGCAACGAGGCAGTTTCTGAGCAAAAGCAGCTTTGGTGGGGGCAGGCAGAGGCTGGCGGGGGGGGGGGCTGGCTGGCCTGGCGTGAGCATCACGGTGCTGACCATGCAGTCTGCCTCTGTTCTGCTGCGTCCGGGGGTGGCTCAGGGCTCTGACCATCTGGCTTCTGAGCGGCCGAGCCCGTGGCCAGCCTGAGCTCAGGACGGGTGCAGAGGCTAGGGGGACAGCACAACGTCACCCTCCCCAAGACCCCCACTGCCAGCCAGCTGCTGATGGCTTGAATCACCAGCACGGGGACCACGCGCGATCCCTGGGGCTTTTCCATCCGGTCCCAGCGCTGTGCGGGCTTCACCCGACCCCCCCCCGGCTGGCACTGCTCACACGTGAGGGCACCGAGGAGCTGCAGGTGGGCACGGCTCTCAGCGAGCATGCGAGCGCCCCTGAATTAAAATGGGGAGCGGAGCAGAACGCCGGCGGCTCACACCTGTCATCCTAGCTGCTCAGGAGGCTGAGATCTGAGGATCTCAGTAGGACTATGAAGTGGTAGAGTGTTAGCCTTGAGCAAAAAGAGCTCAGGGACAGTGTCCGGGCCCAGAGTCAAAGCCCCGGGATTGACACTAATAAAGAACTAAAAATAAGTCACAATGTGGAAAGCCCTGAGCGGGTGCACTGGGGAGTCACCAGCGTGGAGAGGCGGATCCTAGACGCCCATCCCCCCCAGCACAGGCGCCACATCTGGGTGGTATACAATGGGTGCTTCCTAACTGTCTTTTTATTTTGCCAGTCCTGGGGCTTGAACTCAAGGCCTGGGCGCTGTCCCTGAGCTTCTTTTGCTCATGGCTAGCGCTCTACCACTTGAACTACAGCACCACTTCCAGTTTTTTCTGCTTATGTGGTACTGAGGAATCGAACCCAGGGCCTCAGGCATGCAAGGCAAGCGCTCTACCACTGAGCCACCTTCCCAGCCCCTCCTAAATGTCTCCTGGAAAACAATGTTCAAATCCTCCAAGAAGGGAAGATTTACACGCAGGGGTGGAAGACAGAGACAGACACAGCAGCCCGTGAAAAGACATAGTATTGGAGCAACATCTGGGTGTTTCTTCCAGCTCAAGGTGCCCTGCATAAACACTCAGGTTCTGTCATGTGAGGCTCACATAGCTAGCGGAGGGGGGGGCTCCACGTGGGGCGCAGAGCAGAGGGTTTGTTTGCATCGTGCGTCTCGGTCTCATGAAATGGGCAGGATCTCCACACAAGCAAGCAATGGCTCCAGAGAGGTGAAGCGTGCGACTCGAGGTCACACAGCATGGAAGCAGCAGAGGTGGGGTTTGAACCTGAATATGTGGGGATTTCATGTGGCTGGAGGGTGGACGCTGTCTGCTCTTCCTTGGGGGCTCTATTTGCTCATTTCTGGCACGATGATGATTCTCTGGGTGTCGCTGGAGAAGACCACAGGCCGTCCCTGGGCCTTGGTTTTGGGGGGGCACCCAATGAGAGGCAGGAGGCTGGTCAGGACCGCGTTGAGCATGGCGGTCCCGTAGCCCCAGCCCAGCCGGCACCTCCCGCCATGCTGCACTGAGGAGACACCGCAGGCTTCTTTGGCAAACGGGGAGGCCAGGGCGGCTGGGAAAACCAGTAGGCCTGCGATGGTGATGGCAGCTGCAGGCAGCAGAGAGACAGCCAGCGTTGCCAAGGGGCGCAGGGGGATCGCTCCACCCCTCACTTCCCAACGCCGCCACTTCCCAGGCTCCTGCCTGTCCATTCATTATCCGTCCACCTCCCACCTGCCATCCATCCATCCATCCACATCCACATCTACCCACCCACCTACCATCCATCCACATCCACACATCCACCCACCCATCTACCATCCATCCATCCATCCATCTACCCACCATCCCTTCACATCCACATCCACCCATCCACCTACCATTCATCCACATCCTCTCATCAACCTGCCACTCATCCTTCCATCCACCCATCCACCCACCCATCACCCACCTATCCATCCATCCATCCATCCATCCACCATCCATCTGTCCATCTACCCATGCATTATCCACTCATCCATTTATCTACCATCCACCATCCATCCACCCATTCATCAATCTATTCATCCATCCACCATCCATTTACCCACCCATCCATTTGTCCATCTATCCATTACCTACTCATCCCATCCACCTATCCACCAGCCACCCACCCATCTATCCATCCACTCACCCACCATCCATTCATCCATCCACCTACCCATCTACCTACCCATCCAAATATCCATACACCCACACACCCATCCATCCACTCTCCACCCATCCGTTCACCCATCCGCCATCCACTTGCTCACCCACCCACTCATGCACTAACTCCGCCAAGCTGTTGGAGCGACAGCACTGATTACTAGAGAAGTGAAAAAACCACGAGGAACCGCCTGTCCCGCATCACAATGGCTACTGCTCAACAAATAAAAAGAAAGGAAAAGAGAAAGTGTTGTCACAGATGTGGAGACAGGAGCCGTGGAAGGATTGTTGGGAGAAGGTGGTGGGGCTGCTGTGGAAGCCGCGTGCTGCAGCCCGGGCCCTGTGGGCCTCATGCAGTGCTGTCTTCAACTACCAGGAGGCGCGGGCAGGGCGTGTCAGTCAGTGCAGGGCAGCAGGGCTGGGGGCGGCCCTGTGAGGGGACCGGAGCTCAGCGCAGTGGCCAGGTCTGGGCAGAGCCCTGGGTGAAGCTGAGAGTCTGACACAGGAAGAGCTGGCAGAGAGATCTCAGGGCTGGGGTGCGTAAGCCACAGAGAGCCAACCTTGGGGGCTGGAGCGTCCTGAGCCTGGAGCAGGGGAAGAGAGGAGGCTGGGGGGGGCAGACAGGGGAGGAGCCGTTCGGGTTTGCAGGGACAGGTCATCCAGGCCGCCTGGCCTGATCCCATTTCATCTTCAGAGCAAGACCTGTTTGTCCAGTGATTTCGGGGCTGGCGGGGGGGGGGAAGGGGGCAGTGGCGGGAGGTGGCACCAGGGAGGTGGGGGAGGGGCTCAGATGGCAGGTGGGGATGGGCACGGCTGTGTGGAGTGTGACCTGCCCGACTGTACAGCACCATGGCCCTGGTGAAGATGGTGCTGATTGGAAGGAGGGAAGGGAACCCAGGGGGGACAGGTCCTTCAAACCGGGTGGGCCCTGGACAGGTGTGGGCAGCAGCATTAAGATGTCTACCTTTCCCCATTTCTTTTTTTGTTTTCTGGTCGGTCGTGGGGCCTGATCTCTGGGCCTGGGCACTGTCCCTCAGCTCTTCAGCTCAAGGCTAGCACTCTACCATTTGAGCCACAGCACCACTTCCGGCTTTCTCCGCTTATGTGGTGCTGAGGAATTGAACCCAGGGCCTCATGCATGCACAGCGAGCACTCTACCACTGAGCCACCTTCCCAGCCCCTCCCTATTTCTTAATTTCTTAAACAAGCAGGAATCTTTGAGCTCTGACCTAAGAAGCAGACTGCTCACAGGTGCATTCATTCCTTCGTCCATGCATTCCACCTTACTGTGTATGTGCGGTGGGTTTACCTGACGCTGCCTGGATCCCCGGCATTGGGCCGGTGCCGCTTCTTGGACACAGCCCTTTGGGGGCCAGGGCCCAGGACAGGAGGAGGGCAGCACTGCAGCCTAGCAGGAGCCAGCCGCCCAGAAGCAGCACGACTGAGACCTGGCCGGAGACAGAGCCGGGAGGGCAGGGTGGAGCCGCTGCTGGAGCAGCTACTAAGCACCCCCCCCCCCATACACACACCCCAGGAGCTCTGAGCTGCCCTCTTCCCTCTGCTACTGGTAAACTGTGGTCCGGATGTAAGATTCAGACCCAGTGTCCACCTGGCCCTGTCTGTATTATATGCCCGAAAAGCACTTAAGTGTCCACCCTGTTGTTGATTTTGGCAACGTGCAACACAACCAGGCCTTAACTTTCCGGGTAGGTTGTTTTACTGCACATCTCAGAGCCTGGGGTGGTCCTCGTAGATTCTCAGAGTGATGGATGTGATTTTTCCAGCAGGTGGCAGTATAGAGTCCTAATGAATAGGTACCATTTCCTCTTGATTTACCCAGGAGCTGGTAGCTGCCTTCAGAATCATCTCAGAACCATCGTGAAACACAGGGGGGGGCCACACCCCCCCCTCACCTACACCTTTGGAGCCTCTAGTAGAGGCCAGACTGGCATATTTGCAACGTTTCGTGGGTGTTTCTGAAAGGCGGCTGGGGTGAAGAAGTTGTGTGCTCAGTTTTAAGGAGGCTTTAGTGGATGTTCAAAGGCACTGGGGCACCAGTGAGGAAAGGAGCTTCAGAACCCTTTGTCTGGGTATTGGGTCTCTAGGCTGGAGGGTTTCACGGGTCCCTGGGAGCCTGGTGACTTGCAAACGGCAGGTCTCACCTTCCAGGCAAAGCCAGGAATGTCGTCTAGGGACCTGAAGGCCGAGCAGCTCTGGTTTCGGCTGTCCCCTGGGGGCCAGGAGCAGTAGGTGAGGATGCCAAAGGAGAAGGCGGGCGTCTGGAACCAGGCAGGCGAGAGCAGGCTGAGAGCCGAGACGCAGGTGAGGGACAGGCCCAGCGCTGCCCTCACGCCGCCCACCATCAGGAAGCGTGGGTGACCTGGAGGTCAAGGGCAGGTTAGCAGGGCCACTGCGGGACCCAGGCGTCCCCAGCCCGGGCCCCACGCAGTGGTCAGAGCCCAAGGTATCCTCCCCACCCACGTCTGGCCGGAGCTGGTACTGGCCTCAGTGGGAGGAGCAACAACAGCAAAGCTGATGGTGCCGAGCTGGGAAGATGGGCCCAAGAATACACGGTGCCACCCCGCCTCTGCATGGCCCACCACACAGCCAGGCAACGCCCTCATTGTTCCCACTTTCCTTCATGTATCCATCTGCTTCCCATTTATCCACCATCCATCACCCACCATCCATCATCCACCATCTACCATCCATCCACCCATCCATCCATCCATCCATCCACCCATCCATCCATCCATCCATCCATCATCCACCATCCATCCATCCACCATCCATTCATCCACCCATTCATCCCTCATCCATCCATCCATCCATCCGCCACTCCACGCCCAACCCTCCCAGGAGCTCGTGGCTTTCGTAGGTTTGCGGCCTGGTCCTTCACTCGGGCTGGCCCTTTACACGTGACAGCACCCCGGCCTCGGACCCCCAGCAGCCCCGCGCCTTTTCCCTGCGGTGGGGCCTGCGCTAAGCTGTCGGGTAGCTCAGGCCTCAGTTTCTCCAAGGTAACCTCGGGGAGCAGGGGTCGGGGGGGTCGGGCGGGACGTCCCTGACGGTGGTGCTGGATAGTGAGAGGCGGAGGGGCGGGACCTTGTTAGCCACAGGATGGGCCGCGTGTCATGGCGAGGTGGAAGGGGACTTTCCCGTAGGACTGCGCAGGGCGGGGGTGGAGCCCTGGCTGAGGGAGGGGCTCAGGGCTTCCTCCCTGGCCCGTGCTTTCCAGGTGACCCACGGGGCTCACAGCCAGGCTTCGGCCTGGGCCCGAGGCCCACACCAGGTCTAAGAGCTTCATTCTATAGCCAACGAGTCTGAGGGCTTTGGGGGCTGCCCGGGGCGGGGCGGGGGGAGTCTGCCTGCTCCCTGCCACCCCCAAAGAAACAGGAATCGGCCATCAAGGGTCTCTGGAGAGCTGGGGATTCGTCCATGAGCTCTTCTGCCCCGGGCACCCAGCTCCTCAGCGCTGCTGTAGATCGGGCCCAGGCCACAGGGACCCTCCCGGGCCACAGCTCCACCATGTACTGCGGGTGCCAAGTCCCTCCCTCCCTCTGTCTTCAAGTCTAGAGCTTGTGGACAAGACAGATTCGCAGGATAGAAAATATGGTCCATGGGCTGGGAAGGTGGCTCAGTGGTAGAGCGCTTGCCTTGCATGCCTGAGGCCCTGGGTTCGATTCCTCAGTACCACATAAGCAAAAAAGAAAAAAAAAGCTGGAAGTGGCGCTGTGGCTCAAGTAGTAGAGTGCCTTGAGCTGAAGAGCTGAGGGACAGCGCTCAGACCCACAGTTCAGGCCCCATGACTGGACCCCCCAATATATATATATATATATATATATATATATATATATATGGTCCATCCACGCATCCACACTCCTATCTACCCACCCCACCCATCCATCCACCTGCCCACTTGATCCACCCATCCATTCACTTAATCTACCAACCCATCTTTCTATCCACCCAACACTCTATCCACACACCCTCTACCCATCCATCCACCCATCCATCCATCCAGCTACCCATCCACCCTTCTATCCATCTATACTTACATCCCTGCATTAACTTAATCCACCAAAGCGTCTTTCTATCCATCTAACCATTCATCTACCCACTCTCTATCTACCCATCCATCCACTCATCCACCCTTCTATCCACCCACCCACCCATCCTTTCATCTATTCATATATAAACCCTTCTATCCATCTACTCATCCATCCATCCATCCACCTATCCACCCACTCATTCATCCTTTCATCCATCCATCCACCTATCCACCTTTCTACCCATCTACTCATCCATCGATCCATCCACTTATCCTTCTATCCATTTATTCATTCATCCATCCGCCCACCCATCTACCTACCCATCCAGGAGATCTGCATGTGCTGGTTGGGGATGGAGAGTTACTTTCTTTTATCCCTTTGTCTACTGCTCAGCCTGGGATGTCCAAGCAAGCTGGCTGTGCCACCAGGGACAAATTATGTAGGGGTCCTGAGACTCAGTTTCCCCACCGACAAAAGAACAGCCTTGTGCTAGGCCAGCCAGACTTCACATTGGGAAAGAACATAGGGCTTGCCATTAGGAGATTTAAGGGTGGAGTGTTCGGCACAAATGGTAGAGAGCTTATCTAGCAGTGCGAGGCCTTTGGTTCAAACTCCAGTGAAACAGAAACTGATTTAAAATCATACTTGCACACTCCATTTTGCCTTCCCTCACCACCGCGGCTATGTAATTTTAGAGGCTCTTGAAACCACCAGGGCTCGTGATGGCCCCCGGACAGCGCTTGGGCCCGGCCTCACTTCTCCCACCCCTCCTCACCTGGGTGGTGGATCCTTCCAGATCAACTCTCTCCTGATCAGCTGCCTCCTCTGATCCAGCTCTGAACATAAATTCAAGCTTAGAAAAGGTCTCTTTCCTTTTGAGGGAAAGATTCGGGTATGCAAACAAAGCCAGGACACGTGAGAGCAGGTGTGTGTGTGTGTGTGTGTGGTGTGTTTTCCTTCCCAGGTCCCAAGATCACTTTCACTCAGGCTGCTGGCAAAGAGGGCGTAGCAGGCCTCAGTGGGGGAGGGGCAAGGATATGGGATTTCCCAGGCAGGGGACAGCAGGAGGGCTGAGCCAGGCTCAGGAAGTCTTGCTATCCTGTCTTTCTTTGGCCCTCCTATTTCAAGTGCGTGGCACTGGCTGATGTATTTTTCTGGAGTCTGGCAGCTCTTTGCTGGAGGTCATGAATTCCCTGAAGTCAGGCTAGAGCTCAGGATCTGGGTGCTGCCCCTGAGTTTTTGTTTTTGTTTTTTTTTGTCGGTCGTGGGGCTTGAACTCTGGGCCTGGGCACTGTCCCTCAGCTCTTCAGCTCAAGGTGAGCGCTCTACCACTTGAGCTACAGCGCCACTTCCGCCCCTGAGTTTTTGTACTCAAGGCTGGTGCTCTACCAGTGAAACCCCACCTCCCCATCCAGCTGGTTAATTAGAGGTGAGAGTCAGTTGGACTCTTGCTAGAGCTGGCTTTGAACCACGATCCTCAGATCTCATCCCGCCCCTCCCCTCCCCCCCAGTAGCTAGGATTACAGGTGTGAGCCACCACCCTCTGGCTGTTTGTCAAATTAAAAACAAATGATTTATTTTTCAGACACAGTCTCCCTGCCTAACCCAGGCTCCTCCTATAAGCCTTGAACCCATAGTCCTGTATAATAGGCTTCCCAAGTTGGGGGGAGTACAGGTCTGTGTCACTACACCAGGCTTGCTGTAAGGCAAGTCTTTTCTAGGTCTCTTTCCCCACCTCCAAGTCCCTTTCCTTTCACCCTTAAAAGCAAGTGAAGGTAAGACTTGCCTCAGGCCCTATTTTCCAAGGGAGCCAGACAAGAGATTCCACCGTGTGACCTTGAGCAATTTGCCTAACCTCTCTGAGCCTTAGATCCCTCTTGCATAAAAGGGAGTTAATTAAGAGTGCTGCAAGGTTTAAAGAGACAGAGCAGCCAGCACCAGGCTTCTAAAAACCATAGTTTGCATTAGGATCCCAGGCAACCTGGGATGGAAGAACAGAAAAACGATTCCACACTGACTTCGATGGCTAGGTGGGGTGGTGGCTCTGGCTCTGATGCTGAGCTGGTTTCTGCAGCAGTGAACTTACAGTCTAGCAGGTGAGACCAGAAAAGCAACGGGGGGCAGGTCACCTGCAAAATGGTCAGAGGTTTCCGGTTACGCGGCCTCCCAGGGTCACCAGGGAGCGTGTCTGGGTGGACCCGAGGCTAGCATTAGGACCTCAGCTACACGCGGTCATTAAGCTAATGACAGACAGCAGAGGGCCAAGGCGTCCCCCAGGGGACGTGGCCCAGGCCGCGCTGGCGCTGACGGGGAGCCTTACAAAGCAGACACCGGCCTCACCTCCAAGGAGCAGGTGAAATGCTGGAGAGACTAAACAGGTCACTGAGCACCCACCCCACCTGGGCCTGGCCGAGCTGTCTGTCCGTGGGCTCCCGCGGGTGGGGCTGTTTAAAGTCACACGGGTGGAAGCGATGCGGTTTCTAATCCGGGCCCTGGTCTCGGTGGCCGCAGGCGGAGGGCCGGGCTGATGTCCAGGCCTCCCCAGGCCGGGCGCCCTGGAGGAGGCGGGATTCTGAGAATCAGGGGAGGAGGCCTGTGCTCGGGCCTCCAGATCAGCAGAGTCAGGGCTGGCTGGGCACCAAGGAAGAAGAGCCAGCGGCCGCCACACTCGGGGGATAATCCCCGGGTGTGTGCTGGCTCCCAGGACTCAGGAATGCAAGGGGCGGCCGAGGGGGGGGGGGGGGAGAGCCCGCCCCTCCCAGGAAGTCCCGCCCTCGTGGGCCAGGAGGACGCTGGGAGTTGTAGTTTACCTCTCCCCACTCGCTCAGGGAAGAAGGGCTGGCGGCTGCGGCTGCGGGTGGAGGTGGCGGTCAGGACGGGGACGCATCTGGGCTGCGGCCCCCCCCCCCGCTCCCCGCGGCGTGCGTGCCGGGAGGGAGGCGGGAGGGGAGCGGAGGGGCTCCGGCTCCGGAGCTGGCCTGGGAGCCGGGAATCTGGAACATTCGGAACCCTGGGCCGGTGCATCCCGGCTCGCGGACGTCTGCCCCGGGGTCCCGCAAGGTCGAGAACGGGCAGACGGTTCTTACCCGGGGCCGACGCGGCCTGTCTGCCTTGGGCACCTGTCCCGGGCGCGGGGGGCCGGCCGTGAGTTCGAGCCCCTTCCCGGACCCTCTCTACCACAGCAGATGCTGAGCCAGGGGCCTTTCCATTGTTTTGATTTGCCCTCGTCCCCGCCATCTCCTGCCCGGGCCCTGGCGCTGGCCGTGGCTGGGCGGGGGGCCGGGCCCA